ATATGGATGCCATGTTCTTGAATTTTACTTCTTAATTTTACTTCCCCACAGTGAGTTTATGAGTTCTTTTCACAACTCTCAGGAGGCCAGAGGGCAGTTTTGTCACCACAGAAAAGCTAACAATAACTAGCCTGCACTTGCTGGTTAACAGACAATAAAATGCTATCGATGCAGACAGTATGCAGCCGACATATTTTCACCTCAAGAGCTGCTCATACTTTGAATATTTTGTTCAGATACATTGGGAAAAAATTGGATTCAGACCCTTTAAAGATCATTTTCTAATCTATGTTATAATATTGTTTCCTCATTACAGTTGTGTTTTGTTTCATTCACTCAAGATTAACACACAAACCCTGAATATTTAGGCTGATTTCTTCAGAAAACAGAAACAGAAAACACAGTAATTTGGATGATTTCAGTCCTGGAACTGCCTATCTAGGTAAAAGATAGATGTAAAAAAAACACACAAAAAAAAACATGTTTGAATAAAACAAAACACAACTCCAGGTATGTTTTTGAGAAGGCAACAGCTCCATTTTGTGTAATATAAGACCTTTAAACAGCCTGAACCTGCGCTCTGATTATATAAATCCATTGTATTGTTTCCTACCAAAGAAATCACACGTTTTAATGGACAGTATTGGCGTTTTGATATCACCTGAAAATCGTCTCTTGTGTTGCAGGACCATGTTTGATGATTTGAGATTGATTGTATCTTACACAGAAACACCATTGCATCAAAATGAGTCTGTTGTGATCATTTATCTATTTTAGCAATAGCGAGACCTCTTAGTTATTGGTCTTTTGTGAGCTTTTCCAATTGGTCTGTTTCCATTTTAAATCTTTACATCATGATAATGCTTGTCTAAACTGTGCAATTGAAAGGACTTCACAATGCTAAAGCTGGGCCCATTTATCCTAGAACTAAACCAAGATTAAGACGAGACACTATTACGTTTTTTGTTTTATTTTTTGTTTTTGGTCAGTGTTTCTTAGCACAAGCTTTCATGTGGAAACAACAAAATTATCCACTAATTTCATTTAATCAACTTGAGTGAATGAATTGTTAGGCAAATTTTCAGATCTAGTTTACTGAAATACTAAATAAGATATCCAAAATCCACTCTGTATTTTTTAGTATCTAATGTTGACAAAAAGAAGCAAGACATTCAAGCCTGGCTCTTTTCATGTTTCTGTTTTGCATGTCTCAAAAACTGTCAACTTTGGATGTTTTTACACATAAAATACCTTATTTTAATATGAAAACATTACATGATGAAGATGTTTTAATACATTTTTCTTACATTTTTGAGGGTAAACTACAGGATAAGTTTCAAAATGGTGTAAGATTTTTTTCCCATTCACCTGCAGTGTCTCGCCTTAAGACAGGATTAAACTGAACTGGAGCCAATAGCACCAGGTCAATATACCAGATCTGAAACAATACTAAAGCAACAAAACCACAATTAAAGCAGGTTTAAATCAGGGCCATGAATACAGGACTAAACTACGGCTAATACTGCGTAAATTCTAGAAAAGGGAGGATGGAGAGTTGGGTTCAGATCAGGACAAAGCATCATCTGTTACCTCACTATAATAGACTGGGTTGAGCAGTGTTGCAAAAATTGAATTGCATTTTTTTTTCCTGTTGTTCCTGTTGTGATTAGATTTGCTTCTTGTTTTTTTGTTTGTTTGTTTTTTTTTTTTTTTTTTTTTTAATCTGACATCCATTCCACAGTACAGGTTTTTAAAACACCCAGACACATTAAGATTAAGATTCAAGACAACATGTTGGTCTAAACAAGGGTTAACATTCATAAACCCCAAGCACTATTTTGTTGATTTTTTTTATTACCTAAATAATTGCATTTGAAAAGACTAAAGGTGCACTGAGTCACTTTCTTGTCTCCATGTGTTTTTATTGAAGTATACATGCGCTATGAATAGTGTCACCTCTCCACAGATGTGACTTGTAACTTAAGCAGGTATTGTTTGTTACCTGCTTGTCACCATGGAGACAGATATGAGTTAACAACCTATTGTAGGCAAAGAATAACATCTCCATGGAGACAAGCAAAAGGTACATAGTCAATACTAATCCGTGTATCATTCATTCATTTGTTTTTCAAAATAAAACCAAAAATAAGAAAATGAAAAGACAGCTATTGTCTTCATTATTTGTCTCCAAAACCAAAATGAAAAAGAAAAAAACAGATAACGATTTGTTTTTTTAGTTTTCGATTTTGTGTTTAAATGAGTAATGGAAAAAATGGATAACGGCCGTTTCCAGTTTCCATGACTGCGATGCCGGACTTTTGCACTGGACTGCATACAGACTCAACCAGGACTAAACCAGAACATAACCAGGACTAAAACAGATCTAAACTAGGTCTAAACCAGGTCTAAACTAGGTCTAAACCAGGACTAAACTAGGTCTAAACCAGGACTAAATCAGGACTGAACCAGGACTGAGTGTCGGGACGGGAATAGTTATCCATTTTTTCATTTTGGTTTTGGAGACAAATAATAAAGAAAATGGTTGTTTTTCCATTTTCTTATTTTTGGTTTTATTTTGAAAAATGAATAAAGAATGATACACAAATGCATATTTTAGCCAGAAAGTGAATATGGCAAGTTTGTGGTGTCAGTCTCTGAATAATGACAAGGTTTGCCAATTTTCAGTCAGTCAAATCTTTTGATTGATTGATTGATTTGTTTTTATTTCGAGTTTGTGCAAGACTTCAAGACTTTATTTGTATAGCACTTAACAGCAGCAACAAGTGCCTTCCATAAATGGTTTAAAGGGCCAATATTGCACTATTTTTGATCTATGTTATATTGTTGTTTAAAACATCAAATTAGGAATGAATCATGTTCTTGAAACCCATGAACTGAAGAGTGTTTCATGTATTTTCTAACCCTTGTACCAGCTCACATTGTCCCTGGCTCACGTATTAATGATAACCAGTTCAGATGGGCTGTCGTTAATAATTTGTTTTCTTTTTTCCCCCCTTCCATATCCCACTTCGCACATTTGTTTTGGCGTCTAAATCATGTTTTTGACAGCATTCAGGAGCATGCGCGGCGGAAGTCTCCCCAGCCCACGTCGAGCTTGCCTTTTTGTTTATGTGTCGAATGGGAATGAGAGTCCTGAGGCTGGAATTGCCTCCCACCCAAATCCTCGGAGTAACAGTGCATTCTGTGGGGAGAGAATTAATTTGTTTTCCCTTTTCATTTGGCAATTGTGATTACTGCCGAGACTAAGCTGTGTTCGAGCTGCAGCTTTCAAAGTCAGTCCCGGTTGGAGCAATACCAACAATACAAACAACTGTCTGTTTCCTCTTTTTCTCACACTTTGCATTATGTTATTTTGGCTGATTTTTTTTCTCTCTTGTATTATTGAGCTGTTTGAAGCATTGCGCGAGGCCGGGTTTGTTGACAGATTGCATCCCTCTCCAAAGCTATGGCGCTAATGAGTTTGGGAGTTAATGAATAAACATCCACAATGCGTTAAAGTTGAAAGTGGAGGTTGTGGGTTCTTCTCATGACCAGATGTTTGGCAAGACAGTTCACTAACCATGCCAGTATGAGCGTCTGCATTTTAGTCTGTTCAAAAGTAGGTCTGAAGAAGAATTAATTAATGCTCCTGCACCCCTCAGTACATCTTTGTGCATTTCAGCTTTTCTTTTTAGCATAACTTTGGCTATATTGCACCAAATAGCACCAAAATTGGCCAGTTTGTATATTTTGTGATGTGATGAATTTCTGTGTTTTTTCAAGATCACATTAATTAAACGGTCTCTAATCAAAATTCTCACACCCGTGGTCCTTTGGTACATTTTTGTCCCATTGACTTCCATTCAAAATGGTTTTGTTAACTGGCATAACTTTTCCAGGATATTTTTACTTTTTGATAAATTTTTCATTCTTTGGTGTTGGAAAATTTTAGTTTTAGTGTCTTTTTGAATGTTTTGATATTTTCTTTTTACTGTGTATCTTCCATTACAAGATTATATCAACAGAAAGACATTTGTACATTTTAGTCCACATTGAAGGGCATAGATATTTGATGTAAAAATGATATGGGTGTGTTCTAGAGGAGTCCCAGAGTGCACTAAATGTGTCTGTTTGTGAGTGTGTAAGAGTTTGTGTGAGTTTGTGTGTTTGCAAATTAAAATTAGCTGGAAAATATTGAATAAAATCACTTTTTTTTTTTTTTTTTCACGCGCATAATTTGATATATTTACTGTCAAAAAAAGCATTTAAGGGGTTAAAATTTAAAAATATTATATAATGTTTGGTATGTATGATTAGAGCAGAAGCAAATGAAAACACTGATATAAAAAAGTTGAACACAAATCTTCATTGCATAAAAATATTGTGGTATTTCGATGTACATTTTTGTCACAAAGGAACACAAGTGTAACTATTTTAAAGGGCTGCACGAGGGTTAGTGATGCAGAATTGTAAACGAAACATTTTAAAAATCCTGTATAAATGAAAGAGTTATGGAGCTTTTTAGTGTCTCTGTGGTAGAGCAGGTTTCACATTTACTAGTATGGTTCAGATTTAAGTAAGATTTTCTAGTGGGCATGTCTGCTACCTACTTTCCATTCCTCAGTATGGCATTTTACTTTTCTATCTTACATTTATTCCATTTGAGATTTTTTTTTTTCTTACTAGAACTTGTCCTGGTGATGTTATCTCCACGGATAAAGATAAGTTTAATGCCATACTGTATTATATTCAAAGCAAAGTAATGAAAGTGCATTAAGACACACTGGTAACGTTCTCTCCACCTGAAAAATGAGAGTAACCTTTATGATTTTGTTCTTGTTTGAGTATGTTTCCTCTGGTGCTGATTCTAACACCATATCTGTGCCAGTGTACTACTGAAAATGTATATCAGAGTATTATAGATTGTGATTGTGTACAGTTATTGCTAATACAGTATAAAGTATCTTGTGTGACTCATGTGTGATTTGTGTGTGTGACAGGGGACAGATGAGGATGAGCAGAGGCTGATTCGCTCCACATCTCTGTTAGAAAGCCAACACCACCACCTGCTGCACTGTTTGGAGAAAACCACCGTGAGTATATCTCAGTTTAGAATTCACAAAACCTAAGCTGAACAACATAAAACAGCACAGTATATTTTTTTATTATTTTTTTCCATATAGTTTGTATGTTCTCCCTGTGTTTGTGTTGTTTATGGAGGTCCTGTTTCTCTGATCAGAAATCAGGCACATTTTGTCTCTTAACAGAATTTATACTTTGTCTGATGTCATCAACTTTTTCTCGGGGTGTAATGCTAACTAAAGGCACTACTCTGTCAGAAGCTCTATTAGACTTTAATCTGAGCTTTATTTTAACAGTCCAGACCAGAAAGAACAGATTTAGTTGGGAATATAACAAGTGATTTGATCTGTGCTGTTAAACAAGTCTCTCACATCACAGTCACAAGTTTTCGAGCATTAGAATCGAGTTCACCTTTTTGTTGAAACTCAAGCTCCTAAACAGGACCATGAATATTCATATTGATCACAATCGTGAAAATGTGATGCTTATCAATAAATGTAGGATTTTTTTCTTTCTTCAGATGCTTTTAAAACGTTTTTGGTAGTATTCGCTAAGATTTGCATTGTGTCTCCATGGTAACTGCTGAACATTCCACCTTAGAGATACATGTAGAACCCTCCCAGATGGTCTCAAGGCAAAATATCCAAAATAAAACAGAATTCTGCATTGAGTTAGTTATAACAATGTGAAACATATTTATCGTTATAGGTATTTATTGAAATAGAAAAAAATACTAGTTCTGACAAAAGATTTACTAACTTTGTTATAGGATTACTTTGTTCAAGGTTATTTTTACTGTATTTTATTTTCTTATTTCATAATTTTGGACCACTCCACTCCTAGCAAATTTGGGATTATACATACCAGTTTCTAAGTAGAATTTACATTTTAAACAAGACAAATATTCATTGTCCATTGTCAGAAATTACATGAAAAAAACAACAATTTCTTCATGCATATCAAATAATCTATATAGATATCCAGGTTCTTTTTTGCATTTTATAAACAGCCTACATATCATATCCTGTATATTTGTATATTTGTATATTTGTAAGTGTCTGCCTTGTGTTGCAGGCTCATGAGTTTGTGGACGAGCACATGTTTGAGCAGAACTGTCTGGAGAGCGCTCTGCAGACTTACCCATCCCACAGCCCGTCCCTCAGCTCTCAGGACAGTGGGATGTTCTGCTGCTGTGGACAGAAGAGGAGGAACAGGAACCCACTGCCCCACAGCACAGAGACCCCCCAGCGCCCCCTACAGGAGCTCAGTGCACTGCACATACAGAGCAGCCAACTCATGCACCCCACCAGGTATAACAGCGCTATGTCATAATGACAGTATGGGTGTTAATCAGCTGAAATATAATTGTGAATATATTATTGTGTATTGTTTCTTGTTAATTGCATGTTGTTTTTTTTTTTTTTTTGTTTTTTGTTTGTTTGTTTTTTGTTTGTTTGTTGTTGTTTTTTTACCAAAAACAAAAAAAGGGAATAGATGGGGGACTGTGGATCAGATTAGAATCACATGGTCATGTCATGTTATTTATATCAAGGCATGTTTTTTTCATAATCCTATCAAAGAGAGCACTTAGATTTCTCCTTGGCATTTTTTTGAAAGCTGTAAAATATTTCTGTCATCTTCCTTTAGAATGCTTTCACATCCTCAAAATGTTGTAGCTGCATGCGGTTTGCTTTTTATCAGATTTTTTTTTTACATTCTTAAATTATTCTTTGTTAACTTTCCGTCTCCATGAAGATCCAAACATTTTCAAGCAATAAAAAACTGCAAGAAAGATAAATGTACTGCAAAAATCTGAAAGGTTCCAGTAAAAGCCATAATGTCTCTATGGGGACAACCAGGTGACAGATCTTTCACCTCAAAACTTACACAGTGCATGTTTAATGACCTTAATAAAACAAAACATATATTTTTACTTGCAACAAATCATGTGAGATGTGAGCAAACTTTTTGAAATACCCTTCTCTTTGCAGTCGCTCCAACCTGAACCTCAGACCGGAGGACAGCAGCAGGATCAACTGTAAAGGCGGGCGGGTTACTACAGCGATCATCAGCCTGCCCTCGCCCCCGTCACTCAGAGAGGGCCACCACCCCCACGGCCCCCCACAGAGGAGAGTACCCACGGTGACCCCGAGCATCCAGACCACCACCAGCTCCGCCCCCACCAGCATCATCAAGGTCTCTGCCCTTTGACCCCAGCTATAAAAAAAAAAAGGACCCTAACTTATAGAGTAGTTCAGCACAAGGAAAGGAGAGAAGGAGGACACTGCCTTGGTGAAGTATTGGACAAAAGAATGAGCACTTTAGCCAAGAGAACTTTTGGAGAAGATACCGACGATGTTAAGGATTGTAGATACGGGAACTAAGGTTGCCATGGTTACATTGTTGAATTTTTAGACAGGAATTGCTGTATTTCTGCTCATGTGCAAGAACGCTACAAACGCACTCAGAAGGGTAATCACCACACGAATGAACTGCAGTTACAAATGTTGACGTATTGTGAAGGAAGGTGAGACCAACTGTGTTTACATGACGAAGTGTTGCTTTTTGTGTCAATTGTGGGTCCAAACTATTAATTTCTTTAATTCACGGGAAAAAAGATTGATGTGTTAAGTTTTGGAAATACGAGTAGTTTCTTGGTGTCCTTTTCTGTGATGAGTGGGGATGATGATGTTAATAATATGTTGTGAAGGAGCAAAACAAAATGGTCTCCTAATCATATCTGACAGATTATGGATTTTAATCTTTAAAACGCCCTTGGGAAGTAATTTGTGAAAATGATTTGTTTTCAAATTAATCTTGACACTGAAATCCAAAACTGGCAAGATGGCCAGAAAAAAAATTATACTGTTACTCATGGAGGAGTGTCCAAGATAATATGTGCCTAATTTGTTGTACAAATAATAGGTTAGGATTTTCCAAAAACACTGTAAGAAGTGGACTAAGGGAATGTGTCACCCATGGCGCTCGGCTCCAGTCAAATGAAGCTCCTGAAGTTAATAATTATAGGGGTGAATTTGGGGCCAGTTCCCTATGAGGAGCAGGAATTTATTTGCGGACAAAATAATGAAATAAACAAACAAACATCAGAATCATGCACAGCGGATTAATATGAACATTTTAAAACCAAAATGACGAGACAGGGTTGACAATTTTTCAGTGACCTCGGCAGGTTATTAATATTGATATATAGGCCTAGTATACTAGCCTGATTCATTAGTCGACTTCACTTTTTGGAAACCGTCTGACCTCGCAGCATTAGGATTTGTTCGCTCTATGGTAGGCGGGTACTTTTTTATTTAACCAATCTCTGCTATTTGGTCATGACGTATGTAATGTGCCAAATCCCGTAGGAAGAAGGGGAACAATCTTTTTCCCCTTGCTAAAATTCACCAAACATTCTCTTTGTTCCAGTTTTAAATCCTCAATCTCGGGAATCGTTGCCAACACATAATGTATGGCTTCGTCTACACCCATCTCGACCTCTTTGTTTACTGTTGTGCTGTTCCACAAAAGAGACCCAGACAGGCGCTTGAGTTTGACATCATGGCTTCACAGCTCTTTGTTGATTGGCCGGTGCGCAGTTTACAACTTCCAGGGTTCTTGCAAATCGTCTAGTGTATTTTGATTCCTGACCTAGTCACTGAAGAGAAATGAAACTGAGCGGAGACACTAGGTGGCGCCAGCCTGGCTACTACTATACTGTCTATGGTTGGAACTAAAACCAAGCCATAACTCTTAAATGAATCCATTCAGCTATAATTGTCAACTGAAGTAAAAAAAATAAAAATAAACATTTTTGGAAGAAATGTTTTGAACGTTGATGTAGGATTTCAATAGTCTGCATCTTTTGGAAGCACAACTAACTTTGGTTTTTACACTGTACATTACATCTATTACTACAGATTTGATGAAAAATATTTGGTCACTAGGGGGCAGCAACACCTTAAGAGTGATCAGAACTTTTATACTGTCAGGCAAGTTGAATGGCTAATGGATAATTTTACCTGGTTTGATGATTTTTATTTATTTTTTTTGTATAGTCTGGTCAGTGTATTTATAATTTTACAATGTGAAGTCTGTGCTGTGTTGTATTCTTGTGTTCCTGTGTTATGCTTCGTTTTCAGCTACTGTTGTGTGCCAAACTTTGTCATCACTTTTGGGGACCTTTTATGCTGCTATGAAGAATCCCTTTAGACCACCACCTCCCTGTTACTGTTACCGGAAAAGAAGAGGTTTAATGTTTTTACTCAAATTGGAGGGAGCAGACATTTTCTCTCTTCATGCTTCAATCGTTTTTCTAAATCTGAGAAATCCCAAGACTTTCCTGTAATATGGCTGATTGTTAAACTTTGCCAAACCAGATCGAGCCTTTTTGTCTGTTGTGTTAAAACTACTGTTGGTTTGTTGGACATAAAACACGTGTCAGATAAAGCCAATTAAAATCTGATACCAAAAAAAAAGTGTAGGTCCTGTTTATTAATTTATTTATATTAATTTATTATGTATTTATTTTATTATATATATTTTCATAGTTTATTATTATTATTATTATTATTTTTATATATATTTTTTTTGTATATTCATTTGTTTCAAACGTTTTATATAAAATGTGTAGCCTTTTTATTCTTGCAACTACATTATATATACACAAGGCGGCAGTATAGAAACACTATGATTTCAGATGCCTTACTTAGAAACTGGTGAGATACTGATCTAACAAAATATCTGCTATGATTTGTTTCTATAATAATGCATATGTAAAAATAATATATTCATAATTCATATGTGTAGGATATTAAATGTGATACTATGTGCGCACTTAAGGATTTTTTTTTCTTTGTTCTTTTATCTTGTAAAATGATAAAGGATCATATTTTATACAGCATTTTTCCACCTTTAAGGCACTCTTAAATGCTATACATCAAGGAAATAGCCACTCATTCACACACACAGTCATACACCAGTGTACGCTGACACAGGGGCCGATGTGGGTTAAGTGTCTTGCCCAAAGACACAACCACAGCACTCTGGGAGCTGAAATCGCATCGGCAACCTGTGGGTCAGAGGATCAAATTGCTCAGCCAGTGATGTTTTAAGTCAAGAGCGGGATTCGAACCACCAACAGTGGACAAACACCAATTGAGCTACTGTCGTCCCTGTCTTGTCTTATAATACCAAATCAATGTATTTTTTCCTCTCTTTCTTGTCATACTTAACCCACCTCTTATGTGTCCAGTGGCATTTTCTTAGCCACTGCCCTTTGCGTCACATTTGTCCAGCTGAACTAGAACATGAAGCGCTCTCATTACCATCACTGCCACAGCACACACCAGTGACCTTACACCAGTGCACGCTAATAGACCTTATGCATAATGCACTCTGACAACTACATTCATTTACATTAGCGGAGTACATTGTCTTGTGAAGAGGTGGGCGGTAATGAGTTAAAATTACCATGTCTTTTAAGTATTTTTACTCGTAAGTATTTTATCATGTTTTTTTTTTTTTATTTAAAAGGCCCATATTATGCTATTTTCTGTTTCTGATCTGTTATAATGTTGTTTTCTCATCAAAAAACATACCTGGAGTTGTGTTGTGTTTCATTCACATGTTGAACACACAAATCCTGCATATTTACACTGAGGTCTTCTCTCAAAAGGAAAACACTCTGTTCCACCTTGTGATGTCATGTGGTAAAACAGGAAGTGCTCCACCATACACCTTCACTAGAATCATTTGGATAATTTCAGCCCGAGAATTACCAGTCTCTGAACAAAAAGTAAGAGGTGTTAACTTGAAAACTACCTCATCATGCATCACAAGGGAGAACAGTGCATTTTAAGCTTTGGAGATATAGACTGACTAATAATAAAGAATTACTTAAACATGTGTGAATGAAAGTAAATACAACTCCTGGTGTGTTTTTGATGAGGTAACCACATTATAACATGGCTTAAAGCTCACAAGAGTCAATTTTGCATAATATAGACCCTTTAAAGTAGTTTATAATATCTTTGTGTAACCCATAACTTTTCTGGTGGAGGGTCTGGAGGAGCTGGAGGAAGTGTCCGGGGTGAAGGATGACTCAGAGATCCTGCTTAGACTTAGCCTGATTCATCAGCCGGATTTACTTTGTTTCACTTCATACAAACCGTCTGACCTCGCAGTCTTAGATTTCGTTCACTCGACGGTAGGCGGTACTTTCCATCATTGAATCAATTGCTTCTATTTGCTATTAACGGGGATAACTGGTATGTTAAGCTTTACCCAAATCCCGTAGGAAGAAGGGCAATAACGTCTTTCCCCTTGATAAAATTCACCAAACATTCTCTTTGTTCCGGCTTTAAATCCTCGATCTCGGGAATTGTTGACAACACTGAATATATGGCTATTTGCTGATTGGCTGGTGGCCGAACTTGCTCTGCCAGGGTTTTTGCGAACCGTCTATTGTATTTTGATTCCTGATCTAGTCGCTGGAGAGAAATGAAATTGAGCGGAGGCACTAGGTGACGCCAGGCTGGCTAGCTTAGACTGCTGTACCTGTCATAAGCGGAAGAAAATGGATGGATGGGATCTGCCACCTATATATGGAGATGTTACTGCTTTGCCTAGAATGTTCCACAGTATGGCATTAAACATATTTATATCCATTGGAACAAGGAGGCAATGCCATCAGGTCAGATCTGTGGAGAGGCGAACCTGCTCACAGTAAGAATGCATATCTTTCTATTTCAATTTCACTTGTGATGAAATACTTGAGAATATAAGTTTAATGTCACACAGTGGAACATTTAAGGCAAACATCTCAGAGACACGCAGCTGACTCACCCTCCACCAGAAAAGTTTCATAGCGCACCTTTAAATACTTTTACTATTATTTCAGTACTTGGCTTACAAAGATTATGGTCTGGCATTGCTTTCTGACTAAACTTAACATTCATACTAGACTTACTCATTCATTTATTTTCATTATTTCATCGCTATGCTATTTTCATCTGAGAATTATTTAGTTAACTATTTTTACTTCGAAAGTTTAATACTGATGTGTTACTGGGTTACATTGGCTACTCTACCTGCTTCTAGTCTCCAACAGAATGGCACTTTTGCTTCCCAAAGTTGTCCTTCTAGAATTCAAAAACATGATTAAATGTGCAGTACTTAATGTCTGTTGTGACTGACAGGAATATTTTGACCTTGCGACTGAAACTCAAATACCTGCGCTATACAGTGTAATAAAATAGCCCTTAGTCATCACTATAGTCAGCCCTGTTTACAAGCTCATATTTTCTGCATTTTTGAATAATTCCAGGATCTTAATACAATAGCATTATAGGCTTTTGTATTCAAGTGCTTAAATGTTTTTGTCTTTGAACGGAGGCTGGGTTTACAGGATGCACGCACACCCAAAAATAGGATTATGAAACAGGTTTGAACTGTGAGTCATGCAGATTGTAGCCTAAAGTGTCTGTGTGAACAATATTATCTAATTTATTTGCTTTCTTAAGTGGGTTTAGGGAAAAGATAAAGAAAAAAATAAGTGTACGATTGTCAAGAGCTTAAGGTCCTATATTACACAAAACTGACTCTTGTGAGCTTTAAGCCATGTTGCCTCATCAAAAATATATACCTGGAGTTGTGTTTACTTTCATTCACACATGTTTGAGTAATCCTTTATTATTAATTTGTCTACAAGCTTAAAAGCTCTGCTCCACCTTTAGAAATTGAAAAATCCAAGGGTGAAATCATTCTAATGATTCTAGTGAAGGTGTATGGAGTTTAAAAACATTGTGGAGCACTTCCTGTATTACCACATGACATCAAAATGGAACAAAGCGTTATCTGTTCGAGAGAAGAACTCTAACCTAAATGAAACAAAGCACAACTTCAGGTATGTTTTTGATGAGGAAACAACATATAGATGAGAAAATAGCATAATATGGGCTCTTTAAGACATACAATTCAACAATAAAACAGCACAGAAGATACAGCCATTTCCCTAAACTTAGACATTTTTATACTATACAGAGGGAGAGATAATGATCAGAGTTCGCAACAAATAGGAATCAAGTTTTTGAGCTAGGATCTAGGTGAAGAGTAGCTGTAAGTTTTAATGATTTACGCCAAATGAGGAACCTGCACATTCCAACCAAAATGGTCCATATTAGGATCGTCAAAAGTGTTGAAAATCAGATACTAATTGATACTAAAACTGGTATTGTAACTAAATACTCATCTGAGCAAGTATCAATATTTAAAAAGTCACATTCACAGGACAGAAATGAACCTTTCCTGAATAGCTTTAGAATGATTTAGAGCTGTATCAGAACAAGTATAAGTGCACATAGTATACACCCATGCACCACTGTGGAACCTGCATAGGCAACTGAGAGATTACACAGATATAAGACCATGTGGTAATGAAAAAGAAAGTACTATGATTTCATGTTGAAAATCACATTCTATTGTCTAAAGAAAGAGTGTTTTTTTATTATCATTGTAGTATCCAAAATTGGTCATGAGTAGTGAGTCTATTCCTCAGTATCACATTAAATTTTAGTACCACAGCAGTCCCTCTACTAGCGTAAATGTGCCAACCACAATGAACTGTGCAGCCATTAAATTTAAGTCCAAGAATACATTTTGACATATCCAACAGCGGAGGCCTAGGTGGGGGGAAAAGATGCTTCCTTTAGCTTTAAGTTCACACTGGCAGCTGCAGGAAGTGGAGCAAGACACAGCTGCAGTTTGGGGTCGCTTTAATATTACAACAACTGTACAACAAAGCTATAACTTCCAAGTCACAAATGTCGAACACAGTATTTAGATCACAGACTGTAGATACAAATGGGCATAGCTAAACTGTTAGCCGCGTTTCAAAAAGGAAGTGAGCATGGGCACCCTTCTGGCTCCATCTACTCCTGTTTCCAATTGACTTTACATTGAAACATCTCTCATTACATCTCTCTGTAACTGCTGCAATGAGCTGTGACATTTTGGTCTTAAAATGTTTGTATTAACCCTCTCTACATAATCCTGGTGTTTGTATTTCACTGTTTTGTCCATAAATAAATTCCTATTCCTAACATCGAACTCTGGGCTCCACACTTCCTATAAACACAAGCATCATGAGCTTCATTTGACTTCATTTGACTTGCTTACTTACTTCTTTATACAGTCTATGATTTTGATTTAATATAAGGATGAAATGGTAAATAATGCATTGGAAAAGTAATGTCTTCATATACGCACTTAACGAATCAGTTGTTTGTTTAAAAAAATCATATTCAGTGATAGCAAAGATAGGATAGTGTCATGCCCAAGGGAATACAAGTAACACAAGCACAGGAGGTTGGAGATTAAACCAGCAAACTATTTACAGTCGGATGTCCAGAGATTTTTGTGGCCATTCAGGTATTCACATAAAGATTCTAATATGTTTAAACAAATAGTGTACTTTTTTTTCTTTACGTATTCGTATAATTTACTTTCACTTACTTAACCAACTTTCACAAAACGCATAACATTGTAAAGCAAACACGCTACATTAATAATTGAACACTATATCAACTACATAAAAGATCTGCAGTTATGAGGTTGCTGTTTTAAATATTGATGTAGTCACAGCCAGAAGTTTAGATTGGATTACTTATTCATTCGCTCTGTTTCTCGTGCCATTTTCCTTCTTTGAATCTGGTTTGCAAGTTTAATACATGTGGGTTGCATTCACGTGACATTACGTAGAATCCCCAGAGTTTCAACTGAGCTGGAGGACAGATCAGAAAGAATTTTATGGTGAAATGTGCGGTTTAATTGTCAGATTGCAGATTTCTTGGCTTGGTTTATGGTTAATATCTTTGTAATTACTGAGCCTTTCCACATGAAAGCAAAGAAATAAAAAGAAAGTTCAATGAGTATTTCAGCATAAATACAAAAGGAAATAGGCTTTTTTTTTTTTTTTTAGTAAAGTTAAAGGTACACTATGTAACTTTTTGTTTGAGGGTCCATCAGCTGCTTGTTTCTATAGATATGTCATTGCTCTGCCAGGAATGTTCCACAGTATGACATTAAACACTAACAATAACTTATAACATATATTAAGTTAAATGTGGCTTTATAGCTCAAAAATACCAAGAAAACAGACATTCTGACTGTGATTGGGTTTGCCTCTCCAAAGATCTGGTCTAGTTTGGTCTCCATGAAGATAGAAAGGTTTAATGCTATACTGTGAAACATTCCAGACAAAGCAATAGCATCTCCAAGGAGATCCTTCACCAGAAAAGTTACACAATGTACCTTTAAAAGAAGATGGTGCCATTATTCAACCCCAAAGATGTGACTGTTTTCATTTGAATAGAATAAAAGTCATACGAGTAATACAGCAAGTTTGTAGAGCAGAGGTGGGGACTTGCAAGTCGTAACTTGGACTCGAGTCAGACTTGAGGCACTATTTTTAGGACTTGAGACCTGACTTGATAAAATGGACTAAGACTTGGGACTTGACTTGGACTTGAAGGCCAATGACTTGGGATTTGACTTGGACTTGAGGCCTGTGACTTGAGAAGACTTGAGAAGCACTTTTAAATCTGAATTCTTTCCATTCTGACAGTCATGATTCACACTAAGTAAATCATTTCTACAAATTTTATATACTCTATAACTATAGCCATATAGAAATATACTATGATTTTTTAAAGAGCAATTTAGTTTCAAATTCATACAGATTTACAGACTTGAAATAACTTGAAGCTCAAAGCAGACGACTTGGACTTATGGGCCAGTGACTTGAGACTCGACTTGGACTTGCCTGTACTTGACTTGGGACTTGACTCGGACTTGATATCAAAGACTTGAGACTTACTTGAGACTTGCAAAACAACGACTTGGTCCCACCTCTGTTGTAGAGCCACTTCCTAAACACATAATGACTGGGTTCAACATTTGTGGATTTTCATTAGAGATACTGTATATTTCTTTCAAAAACAGTGACTCTCCCATAGAGTTTTACAGATCTCTCCCCTCCATCTGAAACTATGATATCATCAAATTGTAAAGCACCCAAATTTTCTAACATATTTAATTTAATTTACAAGCAGCACTGCATGTCGCCCATGTGAGTTTAGTTCTAGGCTTTCCTTCGTCCATGAGGATGTGAATTATGTCCGGATCATTTGTCAAAGACCAGGGGCTCAGGTGTTTCTTTTCTGGCCACATAGACAACTATACGCAGCGCTTACGTTGGACATATGTTTTCTTTTCCACACATCCTCCATAAACTCCCCCTTTTTGGCTTGCACGCTGCACAGAATCGCCTTTCGTGTCGTACAATGGACGGTAGCTCGCATTACGCTCTTATCTTACGAATCCCCAAGTTAATTATTCCCAGACTCGACTGACATCCTCATCCCTGTCGTAATGATTGCAAGCTGTGAAGTAATCTGATAACTCGACGCGATTTGAATTGGCCCCGTACGTGCGTCCTGGCCGCTTCGCTCATTGGAGGAAATTGGAGGAGCGACGTAAGCGGCGCTCTTGAATGAGAAAGATAGACAGTCACAGGGAGACGAGCGCAGACAGCGGGTAGCGAGCAGGCTGGCCATAGCTGGGTGTCCTTTATCCGAGTGAAATATCTTGGAGTAAACATATTTTCGTTTTGCAATTTGGCGCAACATTACTGTCGTCAGTTGGAGCCGTGCGCATTCCTCCACATCAGGATAACTGCTTCCCAGGACCGTTTTTATTCCCATGTCAGCACGTCCAGGTGATTACTTCGTCATGGTCGCGCGGTTGGGAAAGCCATTGCTGTGAATTTTTCTATTTTTTGTGGGGAAACAACCAACATGGAGCGCCAGATCTACAAGCCAGAGAGCAAAAGCATGGATTCGTGTCTGAGACGACTCAAACAGGAGGTGGTAAGTGTGTTTTTGTTTTGTTTTTTTAATTTATTGCTACTCATGAGTGCAATAAGCCCTCGAGAGGTTTGGGCTGTCGCAAATTAACATTGAACTTTCACATTTTTACGACAAGATTTGCAATGCGTAAATTCAAAAGTCTATGATCCGAAGTCGACTATGTATAGCCTGTTTCTGATTTAAAGTCGGGTCATTGGGTTGCCTACATTAAAGGGACCATATTTTGCTATTTTCTGATCTGTGTTGTATTGTTGTTTCCTCACCACAAGCATTCTTGGAGTTGTGTTTTGTTTCATTCATACGTTTAAACACAAGCAGTGCATATTTAGGCTGAGTTTTTCTCTCAACACTCTGTTCCACCTTGTGATGTCATGTGATAATAGAGGAATTTTTCTACTGTGTTTGCATCTTCACTAGAATCGTTTGGATAATTTAAGTCCTGGAACTGCCAATTTCTACAGAGCTAAAGATGAAAGGTAGTAAAACTATCGCTTCATGACATCACAAGATGGAGCAGAGCATTTTGAGCTTTGGAGATGTAGACAGATTAATAATAAAGGATTACTCAGATGTGTATGAATGAAGGAGGAGGTAACAATATTCTAACATGACTTAAAGCTCACAAGAGTCAATTTTGCATAACATAGAACCTTTAAACCACAGTATGTAAACACAAATTATTATCATACTTAGTTCAACTCTGTATTAATTAGCAAGGCAAGGTTTATGAGTTGCAGTCTTTCAGCATTATTTATGACTGATAAGACTTCGGTTTAATCTTCGGTGCTCAAATGTAGTTGACCTTTTTAATTGCAACTACATGCATGTGGCTTTAAGTCGTAATAATCTTTGCTTAGGCTGTCCATGCATTAACCCCCATTCTGTGTGCACACATCTGGACCAGATGTTTGCAGCTTAGAGCTTCCTCCCCTCACTGGGCCATTACAGCGGAAGGAAATGACCGTTGACTCCATTTTATTCAATTGTCAGGTCATAACATTAACACTCCAGTTAAGCATTTAAGATATTTTGACAGCATGGTTGGTAATGTGCAGATTTGTTGAACATTTTGTGTTAGATTTATTGTTTTGGAAGTGCAATTTGTCTTTCTTCTCCATTTTTTAGAAACTTACATTATTAGGTTAAGGGTTTTCCTTTAGTGAACATTAAAAAGGTCTATAAATGTGTAAAGGATATGACAACGACTAGGTGGATACTAAGGTTAAGGTATGTAAGGTATTGTTACTTCTAACAATACTGTAGTAATAACTGCAGTAGTATTAATATTAGTACAGTGAGTCAGTGAATCAATGAAACCAGTGGCAAGCCTGCTCACGAGGCAAGACAAGTTTATTTGTGTAGCACAAAGTGTACACAAAGTAATTCAAAGTACATTACAGAATAAGAAAAATACTGAAATCACAAACAAATCAATACAGAAATAATCAGCATAAAATTAACATTAAAAGAGAAGAGAGAAGAAGAAGAAAAACTTTTCAGTCATATGCACAGCTAAACAGAACAATTTTAAGCATGGATTAAACATTGTCAAAGTAGAGGCCTGTCTCATATCTTCAGAAAGACTTTTTCATTAAAGAAAATGAAAATATGCTTTTATTGTTTGGCTAAAAAGTTACACGCTGTGGTTTTAAGCCCCCATGCCATTTGTCAGTGAGAGTCTACAAGCCCACAGCAGCATAAACTGGCACACAAACATATTTGGACACAACTTCAAAGCCCCAATTCTCATCCCCCTCTATTTTCATAACAGCCATTGCTTTTCTCTGCACCGATGTGTAATCTGAATGCAATCTATCCGCCTGGCTTCTCGATTTGTCTTTGAGAAGTTGAACCCTGTGCCAAAAGGCCCTGCTGTGTTGGTAGCTGTTACTCAGTATGGTAACATAATAGGAAGAAAAATGTAGCACGTGCCATGTTGGGAGGATCAAGCAGAGGAGAGCAGATGTCAGTTAAAAAGCACAAGTAGTGGCCCCTGGAAGGACCCAATCTGTCATGTGTGCAAAGCCAAGGCCGTCACTTCACTGAGAATTGATTCTTAGTCAATGAAGCAAAGACACTAGTAACGTCTGCATGTTTTATTGAAGTTTAATAGAGTTGTTGAGGTTTGTATAATTCACTTAACACTGAGCCCCCTCTGCACCTGTGGTCTTTGTAAAGCAGCAAAAATGTGAGAAATGCATGATTCAGAGGTCGCACCAGGCGCTCGCTGCTCAGTCGTGTTTGAACTCAGATCTCGTGAGTGAAAATGAATGACTGTTTGTAAAGTCAGTGTCAGGCCAGAGTTACAAGAGGCTTGATGGATTGGCAAGGGGCTCGGTGTAAGAAAAACTATTTTATTAACTTTTATGAACAAATCTACCCCTGGAATTTTGTAAATAGGGTCACTAGGCCAATTCTCCAAAACATGCTTTTGTCTGGACATGCCCAGTCTGCACAGAAAGCTGCTTTTTATGAATGACAATGTAGTCCTTAAGTTTTCAAAAAGTATTCATGGGTTTTAAATAAGATACATACTCAGCAAGTAACTAAAATAGAATGAGGGAAAACAAAACTTTTCCAAATAAATCCTTTCAGTTCACTCTTGATTGTTCTTTTAGTGGTGGTGGTGGTGGTGGTTACAGTCTCTAAAGAGAACCAAATATATTATGATAGTTTACTAAATATTTCAATTACTTTTGATTTTGATTGTTTGCTACTTTTAACAGTGGTTCAATGGTTAGATCACTTGTTTACCAATCTGAAAGTTAGATAAGTGATTCCTGTTCCAACCATTTTTTTTCCTTATAAGACATCTCCAACCTTGCCTAGTATGCAAAATCTAGACAAACTCTTTCTTACTCCCCATAGTTAGTAATACTTAGCAATACAGTGATTTTTTATTTTCTGTGGAAATAAAAAATCACTGTATTGCAAAGTATTACAAACTATGGGGAGTAGGCAAACTCTTACTTACTCCCCATAGTTGGTAATACTTCCTGTGTAAATAAGGAAAGTGAGCAAGCCGATTCTGTCTCGTCTTATTTCCGCAATCATGTTTAGCAACGACCCAAATTAATTGTAATCCCTGCAGCACTATTTTGTTTTATCTTTTACCAACCAAAAAATGAAATTGTCACCAACGACTAAAGGTCTCTGTCAAATCCAGCATCTCAGTCAGTAGGCCTAATTAGTCTTAAAGCTAGAGTGGTGTTTGAGAGTGCGATTGTGTGGTGGTCCGTCTGTGTGGGGTAGTGTCAGGTCACACTTGTCCCAGTGACCTTTGACCTGACATGGTCCCGAGACATTAGCCTACACTGCTTCAACCTGCCCACAGTAGTGACACCGTGGCTCAGCATTCACAGATACATTTCAAACGTGGAATGTACTACAGTATTCACTTCTATCCTCATGTTACTGGGGCTAAAAACAGCTTGTCAACGCATATTTAGCTTGACACATTTATACGTTCTGAGTATTTGTATTTGCTTGAAGTAATGACTCCCCTATAGTGTCTGAAACTGAATATTTAGACCTTTGCAGATGTAAATGGACTAAAAATGCAGCTTTACTCAGCGTGTGCGAATGAAACAAAACACAACTCCACAACTTTGCGTAATATAGGACCTTTATGAATGCTCACTGGTCGCTCTCAGTAACTTTCTCATAAACATCATGAGAGACAGCTTTACCTGTCAGTCATGCTTGAATTTCATCATTGGCAAAGATTTAAATGGTATTATTTCAAGTACAAATGTTACAAAGTGTTATTGGAAAAAGGCTTATGAGAAATATCAAGACAAATAGCTTTAATCTAAGTATGACTCATGATTTATGCAGACAGACTGAGAACGGTGGCCTGAAGTCAGCTCTGACTTCCCTTCGAATCATCTCGTCTACGGTGATCAAAGTTTCAGAACTGTCTAACTTATCTTTTAGGTATTAGCATAAATCGCTCGCACTAGCCCCATTTGACACGCAATTTATTTTACCGCTTCAACACCCGAGGCTTCATGTCATGGCAGTACCACACCAAAGTAAGAATGTATGAGCTCATGATATTTGAGAATACATGTTTTACCTGCACCAAATACTATGTTTGAGTAACCCTTTATTATTTGTCTGTGTACATCTCCAAAGCTCAAAATGCTGTGTTCCACCTTGTGATTTCATGTAGTGGTAGTTTTCAAATTAACCACTAACTTTGACCTTTCGTTCAGTCGAGATTGGCAGCTCCTGGGTTGAAATTATCCAAATGGTTCTAGTGAAGGTGTATGGAGTTTAAAAGCTTCCTGTTTTACCACATGACATCAAATGGAGTGTTTTGTGTTTGAGGCCTAAATATGCAGGAATTTTGTGTTAAGCATGACTAAATAAATGAATGAAAACACAACAGCAAGTATGTTTGTGAAGAGGAAACAACATAGTAACATGCAGTACATGAGAAAATAGTTTTATATGGGTGCTTTAACCGTAAGAGTTCAATTATTTAGTCTTTGAACTTGACGTTAAAAGCATGCATGTCTGGTGTGACACATGGGGTGGGGTGTAATAGAAACCAAAGATATTTTATTTAAACCTGCTTCTTTTAAGAGTCCATGCTTCAGAAGGTGTTGGAGGGAAAAGTAAACTGCATGCCACATACAGGAAATAGACTGGTTCATACCAGGGCATAGTATTTCATACCTAACCTACAGCTCAATGGCAAAGCAGGCTAGGCAAGTTTATTTGTATAGCACAATTTGTACAGTAATTCACAGTGCTTCAAAGAACAAGAAAGACATTAAAATCACAATACAACCAAATCAGAATATAAATAGTCATAAAATTTGCATTAAAAGAGAAGAGCGTAGAATAAAAACCTTTTGAGTCATATGCACAGCTAAACAGAACTATTTTGAGCATTGAACATTGTCAAAGTAGAGGCCTGTCTCTCATCTTCAGGAAGACATAAAACTGAAATGCTGATTCCCCATGTTTAGTCAAGCAGGGAACAGATGAGC